TGCTCGTTGTTGCCAAACCTCTATAAAACGTGGCGTTTCGTCAACCTAAGCTTCAATGTACTTTTTTAATACAGTGATTTTCTAACTATACAATCAACGCCTTACATCATAAAAAAATTTAAACTCGCATTTTTATACATGAAATGACAAAATTTGACCAGACACAGATTTAAGGGAGGGTTAGTGCTCTATCGGTGCTATCAGCAACGACCTGCCGACGGGAACAATCTGTCGTGCAGAAATCAGCATTAAAAAAGTTGAACTGAAGCGTCAGTCGAAATCACGATGCACTAACCTTTATTTTTCCCCTCTTTTTCTTAATGGGAAAACATTACGTAGAATACGACGTTACGAATACGATTCTTGATTTAATTTTCGGTATGAAATGCTGAGATATTTGCAACACTCCGGACCACAGGTGTATGCAAAGGAGAACGAACACGCGCTGTTGTCCTTGCCGGGGAGCAGAGCACTTCACCACTACACCATCCGTGTCCTTCGCCTTGCATGTCTCTCAGCTATTTCTATCGATCTTTTTGCCACAGCAATCACCCGTCAACGGGATTATCGATAGAACTAGCTGAGAGACATGCAAGGCGAAGGACCCGGATGGTGTAGCGGTGAAGTGCGCTGCTCCCCGGTAAGGACAACAGCGCGTGTTCGTTTTCCATTGCATACACCTGTAGTCCGGAGTTTTGCAAATATCTCAGCATTTCATACGAGTTATATTTCGCAACATACCCTGACATTAAGAAGAAAAAGGCAGTAAATAAAAGAGTTGATTTTCGGTATTGGTTTCTATATTCCTTTTCAGAGGATGTTCGATAGAGAGGAATATATTGGGGAAACTGGTGGACCATTTTGTGTCCTCATAAAAGAATATCTAGATAGAAATGCTAAAATCCGTCTGAACACTCCTCTAGGTACTCATAGGGCACAAAAGCACAACGGCGATGATTTTGAAGTGAATGTGCGGATCGTAGCGCAGGAATCAAAAACGTTAACGCGCAAAACTCTTGAGGCGTTTTGGATAAATTTCAAAAATCCAAAGATGAACCGGAAGGACGAATGCCTCACTATCACGCATGACCTGGCGCCCTATTTCAAAATGATATTTTGAGCCCGGGGTGTGTCTTGCTCTCGACTCCACAAAAGCAACGCGTGAGCCACGTTCAGTATGGCGTCTATTTGAAGGTTTGATCCTCATTAATACTTCAACCTCTCTTTTCCACCGAATAATAAAAAATATTCTAATATAAACTACGTCCAGACCCTGAGGAAGGCAATGTCGCCGAAACGTCAGCCATCGATCAATAACATCAAAAACAACTACAACGACAACGAAGACCTGTACCAACCTCGCGTCAGCTTAAGAAAATCGGTTTATAAGACCATATAAATAAATATATCTCCTGTAAGAGTTTGTCTACCCACTGTGACCTTAAAAGTTAGGAAGGTGGAGGATGCTTCTAGTATTTCACCGCAACTCTATGGCCAAAGGAACGGTATTTACATTGATTTCAAAAGACTAGAAGCACGAGACTTAAATTTCTACTCTTAGAGTGCAACGTCTTCCGCCATAACTGCTCGGGCTAATACATCTAGAGCAATCTCTTGGATTGGGAAAACCGCCGTTTTCGCAGGCGGCGGTGAGGAGTTTTCGAAGCTTTTATCTAGATTACTCTATGGCTAAGCAGGAATTTCGACATACATTAATGGAAATCATAGACAACTGCAGGCTTTTCACTGGACACTTGTAGTGCAAGTGCAAATCATCATAAGTTTATCGTAGAACGAAATTGTCCCGTATCCGAGAGCGTGTACGTATTTGTAGTCTTTCGGTACCAAGGTCTTCTTAGGGTTATTCATCGCACTAAAGTCAAAATTTTCACTTCGTTGAAATTATTTCGCACTAAAACTTTAAAATTTGGCTAACATTCTTGTTCCATAGTGCATAACACTTTCGAAGTCATAGGTTAGCTCGTAGTTGTAATTCTTGCGTTTTGTTCCTCTCTTCTTCTTTTTCTTTTACCAAGTCAAACCACCGGTTCACCTGGAACCACATCCTTCTTAATGTACTCTACATACAACCAGGTTGTTTCGGATTTACCAAGAATGGTGTGAAGTAAGCTGTGATGTAAGTGTCACGATCATGTCTTCAGTGTGTGTGGAAGAAACACAAAGCATAACCGATCTCGTGAACAGCGCTTGCAACCTGCATGAAATATAAGTGTCATATTGTTATGAATTGATGTCAACCTTTCCCCTTTATTCTATACTACAAAGAGCTCTAAGAAGCATTGAAAATGAGTGCTAAAAGACGCTCGGTAGATCCTACCGATTGGCAACTGCTTCCAATTGAAAGGCCCTGAACACCCAATTTTTCTAACGTGTGACCAGCATTCACCCTCATTGAAGACAACAATCTTATCCGGTGCTTAATTTTTTTCCATTGATTTTTTTCAACTTCGAAAAAGAAATCATCGGCATTGTTCACTCCTACTTTTATCGCACCTGTGTTAATTTCCGTGAAATTAATGCAGGTTTCGCTCTGCCATTCCTTGAAAGCTTCAGTGAACACCTTTTTTGCCCTTTAAGCTGAAATTAGTTATAAAACTAGTAATGCCTAAGTCCTGAAGTGATCCTATTCGAGATTCAAACAGCAAAAACGAACACGCTGAAAGGAGTAGTACACTGCATCTGACCACAGTGTTTTGAGGTACTTATCGTCTGTTACGACCGCCTTCGTTCTCTTTTATGCCTTCTACTATCTTTCCGGCTTGTTTTCTGAATTAAGAATATGAAATATGAATGCGAATGTGCTGAGAAACTGTGCAATGAATTCTAAATAGGCGTACCTGGTCGGGATCATGTCTCCTTGAAACAACGCCCTATTAACCTCACTGTTCCGATTTACTTCTTCTATCGAATCGTTAATGTGATCCCTCTTGATCTGGACGTAATTCTAAACTTTGATATCAATCTGACCTAATCTAAACGAAAATCCGTTTGGTCACCTGAATTTCATTTAATAATTCAGCATTCTGCTCTGAAGGTAAAGTGAGTTCATGCGCTATTTCTTCCTTCATATCGCACAAATGTTGGAGAAGCTTCTTAGTGTCATCCAGATTTGGTTCCTACGAGGAGAGATGATTGAGAACGAAGGCAAATTTTAGACGTTTTTTGACACATTTAGAGTGGACCTACGCCTTTGAATATCTGGTATCCCTCCTCTAGTTTCTAGTGTCCTCTCGTAAATAGCGACAGCCAACGAGCAGAATAGCACAACTTTCATACTGAAACGGAAAAGGCATCATAAAGGAAGAGGGTATTGGAAAACAAGAAATGGAAATAGCACTAAATAGCAACTCCCACGTCCGACTTTCTATTAACCTCGGCATTGATTGAATGAATCTTTCTACTTCTGTTCAGCAAACACGAGGTTCTATTTCATTTCTTTATTTATTTGCGTACACACTGACGTTTCGGCGGATTTCGCCCTCCTCAGAGCCTGAATAGGTGAGGTTGACAGCAATCTATTCTGCCAAACACCATAACCAAACAAAGAAAACACTAAACCAAGATTTCAATCACATTGAACACAGCTCTGCACACTCGCCGCTTTCTATGAGTCTTCCATTGAGAGTGTGGCGTGAAGACCAACCACACAGAATTCACATGGAAGTGTAATGTGCCCCTCCCATCAGAATAACAAGTTTATATACTGTCCTATATCACGCGTGATAATGAGGCGTTCCTCCCTGCGGTTCATTTTCGGATTTATGGAATTAATCCAGAATGCCTCGAGAGTTTTGCGTTCTTGTATTCTGGATTCCTAGGCGAGGACCGTGACACGTACTTCAAAGTCCTCCCCGTTGTGTCTTTGGGTCCTGTGTGTGCTTAGTGGGGTATTTGGTTTACGATTACCGACTAGGTGCTCTTTTATGCGGACACAGAGTGTTCTACTCGTTCCGCCAATGTATTCGTCTCCGCAAGCCTTACAGGAAATCAGATAAACTGTACACGAACTTATGCAAACACCGTCTCTACCATTAGGGTAAAGTATGCAATTTTGCGTTGCAATAGACGGTCACATAGACGGTTACGAATTAGCTGGCGCCTAAGATTACTCGGTGGCCTTTCAACTACGTTTACCGAATTCTCTAGACCCGCCCTTCTTAAGCAGCGTTTTATAGCTGTACTTACTTTTGAGGTGAAGGGTAGGATAAACGGGTCCTCTGTTTGGAGGCCTCGGATCGGATTTTCCCTACACCTATCTCGAGCTACAGTTTCGTAACCACTGAAAATAGCTATTTGCTGCGCTAAGTTCCAGGGCTCCTCGCCCTGCTCTCTTCCTGTGCACACGTTGGTTGCTGTTCGAAACATGTTTCTTACCAGCGCTCTTTTCGTGTGAGAGGAGTGAGAAGAGAGGTAATGTAAGAGATGTTTTTACTACTTGGCTTTCGGTACCACTTCGTAATGTAGCCATTTTCTGACAGGTTAACTTGGACGTTCAGGCATGGAAGCCATCTTTCTTTCGGTTTCTCTCGGGTGAACTTGATATACTGTGGCTGTTCATTCAACAACTCGAAACATTTGTCCATTTCTCTTGTGTTGAGCAAAAGACAAAGCAATCGTCTATATATCTACAGTAGAGTAGCGGCCCGAGATCAATCACCGGTGCATCCACCTTAGACATAAATGCAATAGGAAGAGTTAGTGCCAGTCGTTTTCCCACTGCCAACCCTCGTATTTGAGCGTAGTACTTTCCTGGCCAACTGAAGATTGAGCAGATCGAGCATTCTTTAAGAGTCTCTCAACTGCTCTATCTTGAAGCCATACACGTTTATTTTTTCTTCATGTTGTATATCACCTGTATCACCTGCAGTCCCGTTGATCGTCGAGTGACTCGAGCGAGTGCCAGTAAATCTTCCAGCTGCATCTTCCCAGCAGCCGACCAATGAATTGAATAAATCCCAGTTTACGGTGATTCTGGGACTTTAGTTTTGGAATTTAGCTGCTTTTTCTCCTTTTCGCGAGAAATGTAATCTTGCACGGAGGAGACGCTGGTCTGATCCCGTGTGGATTTTTAGGACAACAGCGACATCTGTTTGGCAAAACCTTCTATTTACTTTGATATGGTCTATTTCGTTATGGTAGACTCCACTGGGAGACTCCCACCTCCAGCGCTGAGGGTGGGGCTTCTGAAATTGCGAGCTACCATGGATTCTCTTGGTCGCCATAATAAACTCAGACAGCCACTTACCCTGTTCGTTCCATTCTAATCCGTGGGTTCCAATGTGACGTTCTTTAATCGTTCTTCTTAGTCCAGTCTTGGCGTTGAAATCTCCAATGATAACCTTGAACAATGTATGGTCTTCTCTGTAGAACCTCTCCAGGTCCATATAGAACGCTTCGGCTTCTTCTTCGTCATAGTTTGATGTCGACGCGTAAACGACGAAGATTGTCAAAGTCGGAACTGTTCCACGTCTTTTTAATCGTAACCGTCCGATTCGGGTTGTAAGTTGTTCGGATGAATCGATGTTCATTGACAAACTCGTGTTGACGAGAACGCCGACGCCGCCGACTCCACTACTGTCGCATGTTCCGAGGAACAGTTCTTCTCCGGTGTCATAGACGGCGTTGAAAGGCTGGCGTCTTCTTGTCTCGGCCAGGCCGATGACGTCGTATCTTATCCTTCTTGCTTGCATGAGCAAGTCTTCTATCGAGGGCTCGGATGCAAGTGCACGTGCATTGTAGGTACAGATCGTCACCATAGTTCTTCGTGATCCAGACAGCTTCCATTGGTCCTGAGATTTTGGCAGCCTTACCACACTCGTCCTACCCAACGCAGCGAAATTGGGTGCTTTTTCGGGGTCAGGGGGATGAGGCCCGCTTTTTTTCTGTGTTTAGCATTTTTGATACCCACGAATAGCTTATTGGGCTCTGAATGTGGGGGCTTGGCATACTCACAGGTGGCTTCCCAGGCTCTCCCAGAGTGGACATGAAGCTTATTTGTTAGAGGTGACTCCTAACCACCTCCCCATATGCTTCCCAGTCATTTGATTGCAGGCTTTTTGCCGAATTGACTCGTAGAATACAATCCGCATAAGCAAGAACGCACCCATACACGCATGCATGAAAGCGCGCAGCAAATACCGAAAGTGTGTGCCAAATTATCGCAGCAGAAACAGGGAGCCCATCGCCTGGATCCACCTGCGTCTCAGGAAAGCAAAGGACGCTTTTGTTCCGCGATTAACCCACTATCCCCCACCTGGGGACGGGCCACGTAGCGTCGCGACTAACCGGCTCGAGATCCCTCATATGAGGGAGATCCGTGGACCCCTACGTATCCATTAGAAATGGCTATTTGAAGCAACAATTTCAGTCATTCATTCTTCTGCTTGCTTTCTGCGCACATACTGGTGGCCATTACTGCGTTTCTCATAAGCGCCCCTTTTGTTTGTGTCGGGTGAGAGGAGAGGTAGTGATCTGATATATTTTTCTTAGTTTATCTTTGGTATCATTTGGTGACGTAACCGTTTTCGGATATAATTTGAAAGTTTAGAAATAGAAGTCAGTTTTCTTTCGGCTTTACTCCAAGTCAGTTTTCTTTCGGTTTTACTCCAATAAACACAAGGTACTCTATGTATTCTTTCTTGATAAGCTTGCACGAGGTTGATAAATATATTTATTTTCGGCTAACGTTTCGACGTCTTCGTCTTCCTCAGAGCCGGTGATCCGAGTCGATGGTCCATGCTTGTTGTTCGCCTCG